GAGAGGTGCTCGGTGATCCCTCTCGGTGTGCGTTCTGAGAGCCGGTAGATTAAAAGAAACGATTCTCGAGGCGCGGTAATGCGCCGTTAGCGGTAATAAGATTGAGGTAATAAATGATCGTTTTGGAGCGTGACTAGCGCGTGTAGGAGTGTTTGTACATACGTACATTGCAATGCATGACGTTCCAGGCAATGAAACCACTGGAGAAGGCAGGCAGGCGCGATGCGACGCATCAGACATTCTCGAGTCGGTCCGCGCGACGGGAAACGAAATTCGACGTGTTGCGCCGCCGTCGGCGCGAAAGTCCGTTGGATTATCATAAGTCGTCGCGATAGTGATGGGGAAGTCATCGACGTTGCACTTCTGGTAAGAGAAAGCACGGAAAGAAACGCGCTCTTGTTTTTGCGACTCGTCCAGTTTGCACCGCGTCAGGAATTTGGTCCTATGATAAAATTTGGTCATGGCCGATTTTGTCAAAATCTTACGAAAGAGAGAGGTACATATAATAACTGTTAAATTCACAATGTCAAATTATACCCAATTCAAGTTATTTTTAATCATTTCTATAGGTGCTCCTACTCAATATATATATATATATATATGTCATTAATTTGAAGACAATGAAAACAATGGAGTTAAACAATTTAATTCAAGAAAATGCATTTGACTCAAATTTATTATTATTAAATACATACGTTAATATGAATGATGTTTACTTTGAAATAAACAACAAAAATGAATTGATTTACATTTTGATACACATGGAAGTTAAAAATAATAAAATATTATTTAACTTAAGGGATTCGATTACATTAGTTCTTTCTAATAATGTATCTCTCCATTGTATATTTAACAGTAAGTATAAATTCCAAAAAAGTACTGGTGCTAATAAAAGTCAAAAAAGTATTAACAAAATATAAATATTGTTATAAAAATAAATATTTTTTAATTTTTTTCATTAAATATAGAACATTTACATCAATTTTTGATGATGCTTTATATTTATGACCAAGATTGTACTCACTCTGTAATCTTAATTAAGATTATAGAATAAAAATAAATTAGAATGAAATGATATATAAATAGTATATTGTATAATATATCTTTCTGTCTCATAAGAGATTTGACAAAATCATTCGTGGCCAGACTGTTAAAGCACGGTTGC